GGATGGGTGGGTGGATCTGGGTGCATGAGGATAGCTATATGATTTGGGGAGAAACCTGGAGACTAACAAGGCCTCTCACTCCCTTCAGACTGTTTCTCCCTCGGAGGGACTTTGCCAGCTCCCGGGAGCGTTTCAAAGACATGGCTTCCCTCATGTTCCACTAGCTCGGGAGCCTGGTGGGGGCCGGCCATGCCTTGTTCATTTGAGTATTAGGCCGAGTGTCTAACACAGTGCCTGGCACACAGTAGGCGCTTAGTGTTTGTTGCGAGAACAAGTGCTAAGGCCTTATGTCATTGCAGGAGGCTGCCCCTTGAGCCCAGTTCCCCGCTCAGTGTGTCCCAGCCCGCTCTGAACAGCCACGAGGGGAGGCCTGCTGGCCCCGGGGCTGGCCCCACAGCCGCCTATCACTTCAGCGCCAGCCCTGTCCCTAGCACCGCCAGCAGTGCCCCAGGTGAGTCTACAGAACCCTCACCTCATCCCACCGCCTCCTGAAGTCCCTTCTAGACCTTCTCTCTTACCTGCTCCTCTCCCTTCTCCTAACACTACAGGGAGAACCCGGCAGGCGCCGAGGGAGATGACTCCGCCACTTCAAGGGCCCCACGCCCATCGGAAGAAACCCAAGGCCGTGCCCTATCGGCGGGAGCACAGTCCTGGGGGTGAGGGGCCATGGGCCTGGGGGTGGTGACAATCAGTAGCAGACACAGGCAGAAACCAGGGGCGGGCTCTGGAGGCTGGAGGTGGGGAGCAGGCAAACCCACATCCTGGGCTGTTCATTCGCAGCCTCCTGGCACCAGGGAAAGGAAGTGGGAGGGACTGGTACCAGGGGAGTGGGACCCTCTGCTGAAACAGGCCTCTCCCCAGACTTGCCCCCACCGCCCTTGCCGCCACCAGAGGAAGAGACGGGCTGGGCCTCAGGGCTGAGAGCAGCAGGCAGCATGTCCTCCTTGGAACGGGAGCGCAGCGGGGAGAGAAGAGGGGGGCAGGGGGGGCCCCTGGGGACCCATCGGGGACCCCTCCCGGATGGTAAGGAGGCCAGGGCGGGCTGGAGGGTGCAGCTATAGAAGGTGGGCTTTAGGACTGGAGGCTGATAGTACAGTGCAGATGGGGCCATTGATGGGCTAGTTTCAACCCAGCTCACCCCTCACTTTCATTGGGTTCATGCATTTGATCCACATCGGAGGCACTTGTCTCTCCAGCTGCCTATGAGCAAAATCCCCTGAGGTTCCCCAGTCGTATCCTTTCTCAGGACCAGCCTCAGTGAGAGAACAGGGGTGGGTGTTCCCTGCAGGATTCTGAGTGCGTGTGATGTCAAGGCCACGTACTGGCTGCTCTGCTTCTCAACCCCAGGATGGCCTGAGCCCTTTGCCTGCCCTCAACTCTCCTTCCAGAGCTGGGAGGAGGGTTGGGGTGGCACAGGGGGCCAGGAGTGGTGTCCTGCCCCCTGCCTGGGCCCAGCTACTCTTTTCTCTTGTGCTGCAGAAGAGGCCTGGCTCCCTTACAGCCGACCAAGCTTCCTGTCCCGGGGCCAGGCCGCCAGCACCTGCTCCACCGCCAGCAACTCTTCCAGGGGCTCCGGCAGCTCTCGGGGCTCCCGGGGCCCTGGCCGGAGCCGGAGCCGGAGCCGCAGCCAGAGCCAGAGCCAAAGGCCAGGACGGAAATGCCGAGAGGTGGGGGCTAGGGGTGGAGAAACCAAGAGTGGAGGACAGGGATGACTGGGAAGAGGGAGATAGAGAAGGGCTTGCAGGGGAAGTGTGGAAAGGAGGCGGCCCAGTGAGTGAGGGGCTGGGGGAGTCTTGGGGAACAGTGACAAAGGGTGAAGGCAGATGCCACATGGCAGAGGAGGCTGGGCTCCCAGAGAAGTGGGTCAGGGGAGGCAGGCGAGAAATCAGCCTGGCGAATGCCTCCCGTGGTCTGTTTGCTGTGGGCCGGGCCTTGCGAGCCAGCCTGTGTGTCTCTCTCTAGGAGCCAAGATAACGCTTGATGGAGAATCAGCAGTTCCGTGGGGGAAAGGCTTGTCCCGGGCCAGGAGCCCGGATGGGAGCCCCTCCCTTGGTCAATGAGGGGGTGCAAAGAGGAGCAGGAGGGGTCTCTTCCTTCCGGCAGTGATAGTGGGGCTCCCTGAGGACCGGCTGAGAAGCCGGGGAGACAGCTCTTCCGTTTCCATCCTACCTACCTGAGACCCGTTTGTAAAAAAGGACAATAAAGAGTCGGAGTGACGTGCTGGGCCATCGTCCGGTTTCGCGCGGGATGCGGGGCAGGAGGGGCCACCAAGGGGTGTATATCAGGGCCCTTCCTTCTGAACTTCTGTCAAAACTCTAGGTGAGGACTGGGCTAAGAGACCTGGCCTGTTCCACCTCCTGAAGTAGCTGAAGTCACTGTCCCTCTAGTGACAACCAGAGGGACTTTCCAAATAACGAACCATGAGAAACTTGTCCTGCTAAGCCAGGCCCTCCCTTCGTGCCTCCTCTGGGTGCTGCTTCTCTCTTGCAAGGAAATATACCTGCGCAATAACTTTTAAACTCAAAGGAAGGAGGAGCTCATGGGGAAACCCGGGTCAAGAGGGGAAAACAGGCCCTGACCTGGTTGCTCAGTGGTTAGAGCATCAGTCCACAGACCCAAGGGTCTCCATTTGATTCCCGGTCAAACCTTGGTGGCAGGCTCGATCCCTGGCCCCAGACCCGGCGCATGTAAGAGGCAACCAATCAATGTCTCTCTCTCCCCTTCCTCCCTCCCACTCTGTCTGAAAATCAATGGAAGAACATCCTCAGCTGAGGATTAAAAAAAAAAAAAGAGGAATCGGCTTTTCAAACCTCTGAGCCCCTCCTCACAGAGGGTGTGTGCGAACAGGCACCTCCTGGCCAGGTTAGGCCCAGATGGGATGGTTTGGCTGGCACAGAATTTTAAACAATGCTGGCCGTGGATGCCATGGTCCCCATCACCCCCTCACGCACAGCCAGTGCCACTCACAGGTAAGCCGAGGCCTGTCTCCTTCCCGCTTGCTCTCCCCCGGCTCAGGAACCACCCTGGGCTCTCGGGATTGCCACTGCCCACATGCCCAGGCTCTGACCGCTCCTGCCACTTTGTCCTAAGTGGGTACAGCCCCTTTCTCTCCTTAGGGCTAGCAAACACGGTTGGAATATTTTTTAAAGGAATGTTACCAGGAAGCTAAAAGAAAAGCAGATTCCAGAAGAGGAAAATCAGTAGGAGAGGAAGGATGGTTATCTGCAGCGCGGCTCCCTCCTCCGGGGTCACACCCTCCAGCCCAGACTGGCCAGGTCAGGGTAGTCCGGGCAGCACCGACCCCGGGCCCGGCCTTCTCAGCCTCCAAAGGAGAGTGGCCTCCAGTAGAGCCACAGGGCTTTGGGGGATGATCACCCCCCCTCGGGGCCCTTTCAAATGGGCCCTCCCTGAAGGCGTCTTCCTGTGGCCCTGCTCATGTTCATCCCCCCCCAACCTGAGGATTCTGCCCCTGACCTTTCCTGCCACGTGGGGGAGACGCCGTCACCTGCTCCCCTCCGCTGTCTGTGGCGGAGGCCCCGGGAGTCCGCGCCACCACTGGTTTGCTCTGTTGTTCTGGTGGAAGGGTGTGCACCAGCCAATCATGACAGGTGGCTCTACCTTTCGTGGGATGAGCTACTTTGCCTGTTTTAAGAAACCACCTGGGACTGGTCTCTGGGGAGGGGGCTGGGGCGGCTGGAGGCAGGAGTTGTCTTCTCGGGAACAGTTGCCAAGACCAGCAGGCCCTGACCATGCCCAGCCCTCCCTTGCCTGGGTCCTGCTTCCAATCGGATGGGTGTACATAATTCTCCCCTTAGTTCCTGGACAGGGATGAGTGACATTGCCCAGGGTCAGCGAATGCCTGCTCCCTTTCCAGTTCAGGCAATTCTTTCTCTATCTCCACGTGCCTCCCTCTCCCCGCCAAACGACTCTCCGGGGAAAGAGCTCACGGAACTCAGGGCATTGCCATGTCATAGTATTAATTCCTTGGGCTCACTGACAGCAGTGTGGGGAGGGTGGTTTTGTCCCGCATTCCGCACCTCCCGCCCTGGAGCTCCCTCCCTGGTCCCTCTGGGACTTTGCCCTGGTGCTGGGTTGGGCCTCGTGGCTCAGGGCTCTGCTCTGTATCTCCTTTGCATGGTGTTGGGGGTGGAGGCCCCGTACGGAACACGGTCCAGTGAGGCTGAGGGGAGGCTTGAGGAGCCAGTTCCTGCACGGCCCACCCCCACAAGCTGCCGCTGCTCCCCAGAAAGACCCCTGGCTCCCCCATGTCTCACGATCCCCGTGCGTGGGGGAGCAGGAGATGGGCTGCTCCTTAAGCCAAACAGTTTGGTTGTGGGGTTGGGCAGAGCCGAGGACAAGCAAGGCGCCAGGTGGAGACCGTTCTCCGCTCCGGGGGCTCCGGGTCTGCTTTGCTGTGATTGTGTGTTGCTTCATTCCTTTTCACGGTCAAGGAGGGCGAGCTCTCCTGGAGGCCAGATGTACCCAAGGGCAGAGATGCACAGACCAAGGTCTGCAGTCCAGGGCCCAGCCCTCCTCAGGGCCCGTGGCTGATAGGAGAGGGAGTTCTGAGTCTCTTCTTGGGGGTCCGGGAGGGGGAGTCTCGGGGACATGCCTCAGGACGAGTCTCTAGGAGAATTGGAGGAGAGTGGAGTTATCCCCTTGCTCCTTGTCTGTCCTGCAGACCCCTGGCTCCCTCACGGCTCCACCCAGAACCACACAAGCCAGGCAGACGGGCACTTACTGCCAGCCTTGGGTGCAGCGCAGCTGAGATGGCTTCTCTGGGGAGAGTTCTAAGAGTCGGGGGGCCAGGGCAGCAGCCCTCTGCCCAGTCGCTGGATGTGGCTGTTCTCCAGGTCCTCCAGCCAGTCTGACCTCCACTCCCACAGGGGCAGGGAGAGGGTGCGAGTCAGCAGGCGGTCATCCCGGGGGGAGGGAGGCGATGAGGCACCTGTGAGGGGGTAGAGATATCTGTGGAGGGTTGGCCTTCACCCCTGGGAACCAGTTTAGGGAACAAAGCTTGGGGCCAACTTCAAGCAGACACCCAACCCGAAGTATAACCTAACCCCAACTTGGCCCATCAGTCTCGGTGGCTCTGGCCCCAGGGGCAGGAACCATTCGTTTCTTTAGAGAGAATGTTTCGAACTGGCCTTTGCCCATCCTCTCCCACTCCCAGCATCCTCCTCTCCCTCCGTTAGGGGAACTTCTGCCTTGGATAACCCTTGCTCTCTCGTGCACCACAAGCCTGGTTGTTTTTCTTGGGGCATAGGGCAGAGTTAGGGTTCATACGACGGGAACAGGGAATCTGATAGAGCAGATGAGGCAGGGAACAGCTAAGGGGAGCCCTGACTGCCTCTGTTGACATGGAGATGATGGTCCTACTCCACTAGACATGTGAAGGTTGACATGGAGATGATGGTCCCACTCCACTAGACAGTGAAGGTTGACATGGAGATGATGGTCCCACTCCACTAGACATGTGGAGGTTGACATGGAGATGATGGTCCTACTCCACTAGACAGTGAAGGTTGACATGGAGATGATGGTCCCACTCCACTAGACATGTGGAGGTTGACATGGAGATGATGGTCCTACTCCACTAGACAATGAAGGTTGACATGGAGGTGATGGTCCTACTCCACTAGACAGTGAAGGGTGACATGGGGATGATGGTCCCACTCCACTAGACAGTGAAGGGTGACATGGAGATGATGGTCCCACTCCACTAGACAGTGAAGGGTGAGCCCGGTTGCTCCTCCCCACAACCACAGACAAGGCAAGAGGAGGGCGTGGAGGCACGGCGGGGGTAAGAGGAGACAGAACGTCCCACAGTGAGGAGAAATCTGAACTCTGGGCTGGAGTGAATCACAGGGGCTGGAGCCACCCTTCCTGGAGACCCCTGTCTGGGTGAGGGTGGGGTGGGCCTTCAGGTAGGGGGGTGGGTCGCACTTGGCTGCCTGCAGGCTTCAGACTTGAACAGTCTGTCCCTGTTCTCATGGGGTGACCTTGGGCAAAGTTAATAAACCTGATTGACTTACAATTTCCTCATTTGGGAAAAGAATAAAGGAGCATTTCCTCCTAGAGGGGTCATTGAATGCATGTACAGTGCTTTATCCTAGAGCCTGGGAGGTAGTCATCATTGAATGAAAACTGGCTGTTCTAAGGACAATGACAAAGACCGTGAGGAAGACCATGACTAGGAACGTGGCCTCCTGGTTGGGAAGAAGGGGGTCTTACAGGGGCTGCGCCCACTCCGAGGGGTGAGGGTGAGCTGACGTACCTGTGAAGACGCAGTCTGCCTCCCTGGGCTCCAGACCAAAGCCAAGGCCGTCCACGGCCACTGCCAGGGCCCGTGCGAAGTGGGCATCGGCCAGGAAGGAGCCGTCGGAGGAGCTGACCAGGCTGGCTCTGGCACTGGGGGCGTTGTCCTCGGAGGCTGAGCCCCAGCCGTTGGCCAGGGAGCCCTCACTGGGGGTGGGGGTGAGGCAGGGCCGAGGTGGGCACAGCAAACTCCCCACCTCGGACCCTACTCCTCCGGCAGCTCTGCCCATGTCTGCCAGCTCTGAAGCTGTGGGAACGCTAATGTACCCGTAGGTGCTGGGCGGTGAAGGAGCCCTTGGCATAGGAGAGACGCTGTTCCTAGGAAGAGGCAACATGGGAGACAGTAGGATTGTTGAGGTGCGGTAGGGTGGGACCATTCCTCTGGGAGGAGTGGAAGGAGGCAGGGACAAGCATACTGTAATACGGGCCTACTCACCTGGGGGTCTCCTCACCCTCACTGAGCTCCAGGCACAGGGCCACCTCCTCAGGTGTCAGCACACTGTCCTGATCCTCCCCCAGGGATGACAGCGAAGAGCTGGACAGGCGACTAGAGGTTGGGCTGGGACCGGACAGGGAGGAGGCCTGGTGGCTGGAGTGGCTGGCGGTACTGGAGGGCCTGCAGGTGGGGATGGGGGCTGCTGACAGGGGGTGGGGGGAGGGAGTTCGGGGCTCTGCCACGTGCCTGATGGGGTAAGACAGATGGCAGGATGGTTAGTGGGGTCCTTCCAGCCCCTGTCCGCCCCTCCCTCACCCCATCCCACCCCACCCCTGCTTTTGGACCCCATGCCCTCTTACTGGGTCTGTGGATTCTGAGTGGGGGGTTCATGAGAAGAGAGGGGTGCTGGCGGGAGAGGGCAAGTCAGCTCGCTGG